TGTTGTTGTATTCGACTTAAGAATTTGCGCAATGTTAACTTCAAACGAGATTTTTGATATCCGTGTTGCATCAACTTGTTTGTCAGTGGTCCGCATTATACTGGAAATCATTCGTGAGGTAAAGCATGCTAAACTCAATAAGTAGGTGAAATTAATACATATATTTTATTCAAATATTGGAAATTGACGAAAGAAAACAGTTTTGGTCTTTACATAATAAAATTTTTATATTATAACATAATTTTATTATGTAAAGACAAAAATTGTCATAATTTGCCATCAATAATTTTCTCTAGAAAAATATCCAAATATGAAGCGACTTTTGGGATATATAATCAAGGCAGAATAAAATTACTAATGTTAATTGACAAAACGTCGTCGATATATTTAAAGGCCGAGGTTTTCAACCGTACGGTTTTCCTCAGGTAAGTTTGGTGTGGGGTGGAGCTTAATCGAAGCGGCTGAGAAGCCCCGAGGGAACGACGCTGGTTTGTGTATACTACCTATATACACAGGATGTTACCTGATACCCGAGTGTATTACCTGTATGTGTTTTCCTACGACTTTGAAAACCGAAGCCGTTTTTTTTCATGTTTAGCTCATGAATTGAAATGCGAAATAAAGCATTTTTTGTTGCAGACAGAATCCTTCTCTATTTCTTTCTTTTAAAATAATTAATATTTTTAATAATTCGACATTTTTTTTTACATACAGTATGTTTCTTAATGAAGTGTAATAACGAAAATACATTTAGCATCAAAATCTGTCGTTGTAATCTGGCGACAAAAAGGGAAGTAAATAATTCAAATTACACGTCGTCTACGCAAATCGAAAGAAGAAAGTGAATCATAAAACAGTCTCTACGTAAATGAGAATGAAACTTAGAATCGATGTTTTGAGAATAAAATGTTAAGTAGAAATATTATTGTCTAAATAAATATCTTTTTAAGATAAACCCTACTTGATTTTTCCATAACGCATGGTTGGGGTTGATTCCCCGACAGCTATGAAACGGGAAAAGAATCATCTGCATCTTTTTTTTCTTTCGGAATTCATTATTAATTTCAAACATTAAAAATCCAAAGCAAGATGTTATATTTCGAGTAATTTCTCTTCTAAAACTTATTATTATACCGTAACTTCGTCACTATGTCTCGAAGAAAAGTGACACGTACAGCAAGTTTGTCTTATAAATATAAATTCGCTTGACTCATGAACAATGTTACAATGTTGTCATACTTTTTTTAAAAAAATAATATTCTTTAATTCCATGATACTAGTTTCAAACGCAGGTCGGTTTATTTTGTTAATTAATTGAGGAATAAAAGTACGTTAACTCATGTTTTGACACGGAAATTAAAATTATCGATTGTAATCGTGATACGAAATCCTCCCTTTTAAAATTAATTTTATAATATATATTATATAGCCATGATTTTCTTGTCATTTATTTAATTATTTGATAGATTGATTATATTCATGGCATATTCTTATGAATTAAAAAAGAAAAGAACGATTTGATTGCTTCTTTATCACGTTGGCATACAGTGCGGTAGGCATCAAAAGTCTGAAAGTTAATTCGATGGTCGGTTCGATCTCCAGACAAGGTACACAAGATATACACAACAGCAGCAAACTAAATGTCAATCAAATCAAAGTATCCAATCCCAGGCTTAATTTCAGATGATTGACAGAGGTTCTAAAACCAGGTAAATTTGAAGGAGGTGCTTATTTCCTCCCCCTTTAAAAGTCGAAATGAAGGCAATAGCAAGACAGCTGTTCTTTTGGCGTTGAAGCTTCTGAATTTTTTTAATTGTTCTAAACGGAGTAGAGTTAGTACATGTACCGGTATCCATGGGAATTCTAACAGACTGAAGTACCAGCCTATAATCAATGTAAGAATAATTCCCTAACAATTTATTAGAAAGACACCAGTCAGCATTCGACCTAACGAGAAATTGCAAAGCAGGTCATTGCTTTGACCAAAGAATTAGTAAAATGTTTATTCCAATGATTGTTGATATCCGTTATCATCAACTTATCTATCAAAACCCTGTTTTTAGCTCTACTGGTCAGAGACCAGAAGAGCTTATGCGATAGTAATGCGTCCGGCGTCCGTCCGTCTGTAAACAATTTTTCAAAACGCTACTCCTCCTACAATTTTAGTCTGATTTCAATATTACTTGGCACACATGTAGAGTACACTAAGATACATAGAATAGTGCATCGGTTTTTAATTTCGATGAACGGTGTTGCCATGGTTACTAAAAATAGAATTTTCTGTGAAATTCCTTAAAAATGCTACTCCTTCTACAGTTTTGGTCTGATTTCAATATAACTTGGCACACAAGTAGACTACACTAAGATACATAGAATAGTGCATCGATTTTTAATTTTGATGAACGTTGTTGCCATGGTTACTAAAAATAGAATTTTCTGTGAAATTCCTTAAAAACGCTACTCCTTCTACAGTTTTGGTCTGATTTCAATATAACTTGGCACACAAGTAGACTACACTAAGATACATAGAATAGTGCATCGGTTTTTAATTTCAATGAACGTTGTTGCCATGGTTACTAAAAATAGAATTTTCTGTGAAATTCCTTAAAAACGCTACTCCTTCTACAGTTTTGGTCTGATTTCAATATAACTTGGCACACAAGTAGACTACACTAAGATACATAGAATAGTGCATCGGTTTTTAATTTCGATGAACGGTGTTGCCATGGTTACTAAAAATAGAATTTTCTGTGAAATTCCTTTTAAATGCTACTTCTTCTACAGTTTTGGTCTGATTTCAATATAACTTGGCACACAAGTAGACTACACTAAGATACATAGAATAGTGCATCGGTTTTTGATTTTGATGAACGGTGTTGCCATGGTTACTAAAAATAGAATTTTCTGTGAAATTCCTTTAAAACGCTACTCCTTCTACAGGTTTGGTCTGATTTCAATATAACTTGGCACACAAGTAGACTACACTAAGATACATAAAATAATGCATCGGTTTTTGATTTCGATGAACGGTGTTGCCATGGTTACTTAAAATAGAATTTTCTGTGAAATTCCTTTAAAACGCTACTCCTTCTACAGTTTTGGTCTGATTTCAATATAACTTGGCACTCAAGTAGACTACACTAAGATACATAGAATAGTGCATCGGTTTTTGATTTCGATGAACAGTGTTACCATGGTTACTAAAAATAGAATTTTCTGTGAAATTCATTCAAAACGCTACTCCTTCTACAGTTTTAGTTTGATTTCAAAATAAGTTGGCACACAAGTAGACTACACTAAGATACATAAAATAGTGTAATGGTTTTTGATAAGTACAAACCAGTAGAGCTACAGTCTCGACAGAGACTTCTGGTTTAATTGTGTTCGTATGTATGTGCAATACACATTCTTGCGTATCGAATTAACTAAGGGACTTGAAATCTATTTGCAGGCGATACTGGTATTTAATGCTAGGTTTAGAAAAAAATGTTTATCATCACATTAATCATAAAGTTTTGTTAGTGTGCATCAGTGTCTTTTCCTTGTAAAATACCCTTACACATATAAAGCAGACTCTAACGTATTTTTCATTCTGAGTTCCGCGGGACAAATTGAATCAAGGTATATGTGTAAATTAATATTTGTTATTTGCTAAAACGTTCACGAAACATCTAAAAGCCAAAATGACGGCCGCAGTAAGAGAACTTCTTTAAAAACCTGGGCATATAGATATAGCCATTAGGAAACATCTTTTTAATATTTATCCTTGGAGTACATGTACTTGTCCGGAGAATAAGAAAGTCTATTATCAAATTGATACTTTTGCAAATGACCAATAATGTGGTTTGCAGATTTATGTGTTGAATAAAGAAGCTGTTGTTTAACAAACACAAAATTCGTTTGTGTGTCCCTGTGGAATGGTTGTATAAAGTATTGAAAAGTCGTGCTTTGTGATTTTGAATTCTCTAAATGTTACCTGGAGTTTTATGTATCTAGTTCTGATTCGCACCGTTTTGATGTTGCACTATACGCCTGGGACCCATTTAAATAAAATTACGACAAGACCAAAAATAATAGTTGATTGTAAAATATTTTAAAATTAATGATTCTGTTTGAAATTACTAGTATAATATTATCTTGTAAAATTCTTTTGAAAAAGATTGAAAAAAGATCTGTAAAATAGAAAGTTATGAGCAGAGTTTAATTTTGCCAAGGTCTTAGTCGTAAGTTCTTTTGTACAACGGGCCCCTGGAGTGTTTCTGTTTCGCTTCTTTATTAATATTTTTGCGAAGAGTCAAATAAGATGAAACGATGTTTTGAGGAGCATTGGTCAATGGAAACAGTGATCTCAAATTGATTTATATACACATAAATTCTTTCGGGGTTTACAACAATGTCGAAAATTTGATTTATCCTTCTTACAAAGTGATCTCTCAGTGTCATTAAATCAGATAATATTTATCGCGAAATAACTGCATTTTCACACCAAAATACGTGTGTTTGGCATTCATTGTAGCAATGCTTTCAGATTTTTTGAATTCTTTGAAAAGAATAGCACTACAAACCTCTTGTAGCCGCAGTTAATAAAAACAGGAGGAACAGACAGGATATCATGACGGCAGTCTGTTGTTACACAGCGCTGTGACCCAGGAAAGATAACGTTATTATATATAACCATGGAATCAAGTTTATCAGGTCATTTTGCTTAGCGCAATGAGTACAAAAATTTAACTTTAAATTAAAGTAATTACCGTTATACGGAAAAATTATCAAATTTTCAACTTGAAATCATATTTATTTGGAGCAGTAAGGCTCATTAATGGTTTGTACTAGATATTTTTTTTCACTGACACAAATTCGCAAAGCGCACGATGAAACTGAGCACATTTTAATCAGATTTCTTTTGGAAAATAAATTTTAGACAAATATGAAAGAAAGGAACCTTATACATAAATTGGGCACTAAATAGAAATTTTTGTTGGAAAAAAAATGAAATACCGTTTTGTTTAAACACAATTTTATTTAATCAAACTAAATAACTAGAAAATAAGTATCTTTACAAAAGAATAACAAATGGTAGGATTTAGTTTAATAACAATTTCATAATGATAAAAAATCCAGGAAGGGCGTAAAGATATTATCATTTCAACATATACTGTTACGACATTAATTATTATTTCTATACAAATTAACATTGCATTAAAGTATTATTCATTCCAGACAATACAGTTGAGTTGATCGTTCTATAACGCCCCTAACAGTCCGGTGTGTACTGCGGTCTGTGAAGTCCAGCCGGAACATCTGACATCATTCTTAAATGGTTGCCACAAAAGTAGACTCTGAAAATAAAGTCCATTTGAGTATTCTGGTCTTAACAGGTTTATATTAGACGTGTTCTATCTTTCCAAAATAGAATGAAGTTATTCAGTGCTTTGCAGTTGGATATATAATTGAAGAATTCATTTTTCGAGTGGCACAGGACTTCTAAAAACAGGGATAGGAGTGAAATAAATTCTATATACAATTAGAAATCACTGAACTTGTTGTATTTATTTTTCTCCTCATAGTCCAACTTATAAAATGTACATTTAAAAATCATTGAATTTGTTGTATTTTATTTTACCCCTCATATTGCAACCTATAAAATGCTGTCTGTGCGTAACGCAGTCGTGTAGGCTATGACATTCTATAGCTAGCTACATGCTATACAATATACCTATCGTCGCTTTTGAGTGATCATAAGCAGTCTGAAAATTTTTAAAATTTCTTTTACAATAATTTTGGAGAACTCTGGCTGATTATAATAGGGATATTAGCAGGAGCTGTTTCTGTATATAAATAATCTGTTTAACGTCCCTCTCTGAGTAATTTTTTTATATTTTTCATATGTTAAAAACAACAACAAAAAATTGTGATCCAGATGCCATTCTGTTGAATTTGAAATCGGGACACGAAAAGGTTTGCAAAGAAATTTCTTTAAAACAAGAAAACAATATCACATGTTTAAAAATACATGCCTCTAGTTACGTAAATGTATAATCAAGTTTTGTTAAAAGTCTAGCTACTTGATATATAGTCTAAAGAGTATTAAAATAATTGATATATATATATATTTAAAATTTAATCGAGATTGTGCGAGTAAATATGATCTGCTATTCAAATATTTAAGAAAATATACTTTATAAAAGGCAAAGTTAGATTATGAGCATATCCTATCAATTTATAGATTGTATTTTGTTTAACGTCCCCCTCGAGAATTTTTCCACTCATATGGAGACGCCACACTTGCCCGTGGAGAGCTGCAAATTTTGTCCTATACTCGGCACTCAGGGCCATTAAGCAGGGAAGGGTCCTTTTCGTGCCAGCACCTACTGCGACAAGGGACCCGCGTTCTCATACGGATTACATAAGGATTAACTTCTTACTTCGCGACTCTATATCAGATTGGTATAGGTGAACAGTTATTTAAGTTATTAGAGTTGATTCACAACTTAACCAAGTGTTATTGCAGAAGACACGGATACTTACGACTTGTCTGTATCAGCCGTGGTGACAGTGATTTTCTGTATGACAATCCCTCTGTCAGAACCCCAGGAGAAGAAGGAACTCTGTTCATGAAATTCCAGTTGAGCTTGTAGAATGCCTCCTAATTCGTGAAGCTCCACAAGCATGGCGCTGTAAGTCTGCCCAGATGCAAAAGGTCGGTTCAACCTGGAAAATACTCACAATAATTAAGAAGTGTTCACATCCATCATTTTATCACAATACTAGTATTCTTTATTTTAAGTTTCATGTTCAGTGTTCACAGAGTAACAACATAAAGAAATACTTCAAGCACACTCATTGCACTTAAAGATGAAAAATTACATCATACATACCCATTAAAGATAACTTTATCCGATAAGCCACTTGAAGTCAGAAATTTTAGTTTCAATGTCCCATATGTTGGTCGAAAGGTCCCAAGTTCCAGTCGGACCAAGTACTGGTGTCCTGAGGATTAAATTATCATACACTGTAGTCGTTTACTTATTTTAAAGTCTGGTGAATCTTTTTTTTTTTTTTTCCCCTTTCTCGACTATTTAAAGGGAAAATTTTCGGTATTGTTGCATGCATCTTTAATTAGGTTTTTATATCGGTAAGTTTCTAATGTACTTGTTGAATAAATAAAATTGCTACAAGTGTAACATTTTAAACTCCTCCTTGTGAACATCACAGTTGTGATGTGCACAAGGAGGAGTTTAAAATGTTACACTGTTGTGATGTGCACAAGGAGGAGTTTAAAATGTTACACTTGTAGCAATCTTATTTAAAACTATCAGGAGAAATCTGCTTATTAAGCAAAATTGCTTTTAATCAAACTTGTTTGCCCTCCCCCGACTCAAAACTTGTTTCGACCTTCCAGGCCATGATACCATATATTTTTTTTCTTTTGGTCCTGATTTTTTTTATCCTGTCAAAGGATATTTCAAAATGTTCCGGAGAAAAGATTTTTCTCTACCTACACGTACCTATCGACCCATTTTTTTACCCGTCACTAGGGAGAGAGCAAACATTATTGTAAAGATGGCCTGATGGGACAAGCATACACACATGTATAATGTCCTGACTACTTTACTCGCAACTCTACTAGGCTTTAATAAAAGAAATAGAAATTGTCGTTCCGTTCTAATAAATTTTCCCATGTGTCTCTGTTTCATTGCAAATGCATCCTTTATCTGAATTAAATCTAGTTTTGTATTGAAACATAGATTTGATTGACAAACATCGTTTAAAAAGTAGTACCACAATATGGAGCTCTTGATCGTGTAGCCAGATAAAATTTTCCTCTGGCTCTATACTTGTTTGCATCATATCCAATCCTGGGACAGGGCAAACCTCCACAGTCAAAGCAGTTTCCTGCCAAAAAGTCACGTGTTCGGGAACACTGAAAGGAAGTAAATGGGCAGGGGTCGTTGATGGATTCCGTAAACAGAAAGATGGAGCGACTGTGGCTACAGCTGATTATATTGCCCGTTTCTACGTAAAATAAGGTACAACTATAGTCTAAATGAACAGTGTATGTCCTCTAAAAGTATAACAATGTGCGCAGAAAATTGATTTTTCAAAATTCAGTTATTTAATTTGTATACATGTTATGGAGTTAAAGTGACTGTTACACAAACCACATTTTCTTGAAATTTTGTGCGATTAAATTCAAATCGAAACATTTTTCAAATTATATACTGAGAAAAACCTTTTAATATAAAAAATGAGAGATAAACAGAAGTGACTATGTTTTCTACCGTACGTGCCGTCCTCGTATTCCTCTGATATGATATTCATGAGGCTTTGTCTTGGACAACCTGGCTGATTGCTTCCACCATTAGGGTAAAAATCCATGTGTCCCACGGGAAGCATCATACCATATCCTGTTGGTATCCAATTCAACTGTTTCATTGTTAAGTAATTAATTTGATGTTTTGCAACAAAAACTGATTATCCGATTACATTAATTTCCGGAGTAATATGACATTGATAGACAAAAACAGGCTAAACAGTACTGAATCTCGTATAAAAAAAATCACTATGACGACTTATTTTAAACAATGTTTTCTTTATAATTATTTTTGAACTAAATGCAATTCCATAGTGAACAAACAGAGGATGAACATTTTAGAGAACTGCGTTTATCCTACCTATCAAAGCTCGATATTTTTGGATTAAAGTTTATTTTCTCAGGCTTTAGACTAATGTTAACCCAACCTGTACATGTAACATATCTACGTATAAAAAGGAACGATTTTTTTAACTGTCATGCTGCCTAACAACTGGACTGGAATTAAAATGACAAGGGACATGTTCTGTCATTTTAAATGTTATTGCCAGACAGAAAATTATGACCAAAAATAAAACAAACTTAAATTAGATATCCCGTTTTAAATTCTAAACTTTGAACAAACAGGAGAAATCCAGCTTAGGTATTGCAATCATTCGACTTTCTGTTTTAAGGCTGAATACGATTCGTTAATGGAATTTGTCCACCATATTCGATTATTCACTCGTTATATCTGATGTCCCCTATATAACCGGCAACTTGGTCATTGTTCAGTGAAATCAGTTGTCATCGGTGAAGACGGAATGCATAGCGTCGACAGCACTCGGTAGCGACAAAAATTACTGAAGTGTATTTCTAAGGTAGGAGCGTAACTTACAACATTTGGACAGGTCAGTGCGGTATACAAACACAAAAACACATTCATGCAATAAAATAAAGGCAATGCAAAATAAGCAGCATGAACACGTGTCGACATTCCACGCCGACACCAGTGACAATAAAGCAGCCAGGTAACTAATGCGAAAGGTATATCCCGGTGCTGATATCGTAGATAGTATAATAGAATATGGCATTACGCGCCATGTTCAGCTTTAATATAGTAGCTTTGAATCAAGAAATCTTTTTACATTTCTTTATATCTGGTATTCTCCTTTAAAATGTTTCTGCGGAGGAAATTCATAACAATCAATTTTATTAGCATTCAACTTTTAATGCAGTTTTCATACTTAAAAATATAATTCTGGGTCGAAATGGTTAAACACCGAGTACATTTTTAGATGTATATGTATGTATGAAGTTGCATCACGATTTAAATTCTTTAAACATTCACTTCCTTCAACTAAATTTAATAAATTTAGAGGGAAGATTGTTAGACAAAGCTTTAAGTACAATCAAGTTACATACTTATTCAGGTCATCATCTCTCTGTAAAGATTAACCATTATGTATCTCTCCAGTGAAATCAATATAATTTTCTGAGAATTTAGTGGAACTATTTTTTTTACACTGAAAAAAAGTGAAAGTATTGATCAGTGCTGGTGTGAATGTAAGATGAAAAGTATTACGAATGTAGGATACCAAACTTCTCAGTATATAGGCTATTTGAAACCAAAAATCAGGTGACCATTCCATTTTCATAAATATTTGCTATGATAGTAAATCAGTCAAATATCATATCAAGAAGGATATGGAGATAACGAACAGTATTCAATATCAAAGTCCATAAAACAATACAAAATAGGGGCAGAGCAAACACGGACCTCCGAAACATCAGAGGTGGGATCAGGTGCCATGAAGGAGTGAGCATCCCTTTCTGACCGGTCACACCCGCCGTGTGCTCCTTGTCATGATCGGGAAATAATGGGAAAATCCGTCGTCAATTCAGTATATAAATAATGGACTAACAATTAATATTAGTATCTCTCAGCATTTGTGTGATAAATTGTGTATTTGTTGACAAGGTCATAATTTTCTGATGACTTTAAACGAGACTTTATTCTTGTTTCATCAACTTGCTTGTCAATAATTTACCTCGTTTTAAAGTTGTTCTACGTTGCTCTTGTGTATAGAATTAACTGAGATATATACACTCCGTATGCAGGTGATGAAGGTATATTGCTGCATAAGTAAGGGAAGTCGACGATAGAAAAGTTTAAAGTCATCACGTTTATCATAAAGCTTGGTTGTTAGATTACCATTAACGTCTTTTTCAAGTAAAATATCCAAGTATGAAACAGATGTGTGAGACTCTCTGGTGTTTCTTATCTCATGCTCACCAGGATATATCGTATCGACGTAGGAATGGAAATGACCATTGTTAATTGACAATACGTCGTCGATATATCTAAATGTCGAGTCGAGTTGAAGGCCACAGCAAGTGTTTTCTTCTTTTCACGCATAAGATTCTTTTTTTTTACAAATTCTGCCTCATATGAATATGAAATAGGTCTGCTAATAACGGAGCGCAATTGGTATTTGATTGTTGGAATACCTGGTCTCCAAAAACCACATAGATATTGTCAATCAGAAACTCAAGCATCTCATTGATGTCAACTTCAGAGTACTTGTTTGTGCAATCAGAATGTGTTAACAAAATAATTTTGCAAATGACCAGGTAACTAAATTTACGAGTTCCATTTTTATTGAAAAAGCAGCTGTCAATGATATCAAAAAGCCTGGACTTTAATTTATCGTTGGGAATGGTTGTGTATAAAGTTGAAAAGTGGCAAGTTTTTAAGCTGTTGATTTTGGCAAATTCTTATGATTTCAAATTGTCCAAAAGTTCTTTGGAATTTTTGAGTATCCACATCTGATTCACACCACTTTTTGAATATATTGTTGCACAGTACTCTTGAAGTTTTGCCTTCACTACTGTCAATATCTTAGTGAGGAGTAAAAAAGAGGCTTGGTTGAACATTTACAGGAACCCGAAATATATTTGTTTGTAAGAAGTATTCTTTTTTTTTTTCTTAAAAATCAGTTCTGAAGGAGAAAATCAGATTTTTTTTAAAATTAGAATTTTTGATTTCCTTAAACATCAGTCATCTGCTTAATTTCAGATATGCTCGCCATGTTTATTATGCTATAAAATACATCTACATTAAATTATATGATGTCTCTCTAATATTTGATTCAGAATACGACATTGATTTTTTTATTTGGGAAATGTACTTTTGCAAAAATTAATCAGTCCGTATTTTGAGAACACAAAGCATTGTTATTGAATCCTTCTTGCACAGTCAAGCAATACGGCCAACCCATTCTTAGAATATAAAATCTCCTTTCCTGCAATTTGACAGGTTTATTTAGGATTTAGACGGAAAGGTCAAAACAATTCCACAGATAAATATAAAACGTTTATTATCACATGAATAGCTACAGAACGGAAACATGATTTCTCCGAAACTCATCAAATGCAGTTTAGATTTCTAATTATTGCTCTTGCTATGTTTAATAGTTTATTGGAGGATAGAAGTTGTCACTACCACCAATTAATTGTGTTAAATGTTTCCCTATTATTTCATATTTTATTCAACCTATGACAACTTATCCTTTTATAATGACAAGAGATAAGGATATTCTTTATTTCCTGTGAAGCAGAGGTTCTAAGCAAGTTAAAGAAACCAAACAAATAATGAAATTATAAAAATTAGACATACACTCATTTTACAACACACATACATGTATTTTGCCATTTAATAGTTTTTTTTAATTAAAAAGCTATACAGTCTTTTTTTAATTAAAATTTAGGCTATACCCAAATTGTATTTCGATGAACAAAGTTCACGTTGCCTAAGCATTTTTAAAGATGAAATGCACGATATTTGTACTGTTTAATTTTATCAAAGTAAAACATGTATACTTTTGAGTAATGTCTCTGCCAAAGCTATCTACATTTTTGTATGATTCTTTAGCCAATCTAAACCAAATGACCTTGTTTTCTCCAGACTCTTGTGCTTATTTTCCCTTGTAATCTCACTATGATAAGCTTTATCGTGGGAATCTTGTAATTATCAACCTTTCTAAGGCGTGAACCGAAATAAGATGCAAAACAAACTGATTTCCTTTTCAAAAGTAAACTCTCTCTGCATGTCTTTTAGCAAGGCGTATTGCAATTATTGATATCCATATGCTGCTCAGATTATATAAGATTTTTTTATTAATCTACAATGATCGGAAATCAAAAGTCTAGCTTTCTTCTGTTTGCATTGCTAAGGCTCTATGGTGGTTCCTTGTTTTCACAAACGGTCTTTGACAAGTGGTGTAATGATTTCCGTTCAAACGATAAATTGCCGTATCATTCATAACGATGCCGTAATGCATGTTGTTTTTTTTCACTTTCTCACTTTTTCCACAACTTACTTCAATTGTATATTTTCTGGATGCATAAGAGATTAATTGATTCATATTAACAAGCAAAAATTTCAACGATGCAGAGAAGATTATAAACTAATACTTTGTATTTTATAAAGAGGATTGTGCTCAAAATATTAATATTTTTTTATTGCAGAATTGCAAAATAACCTCCTTTTTGTAAATCAATGATGACAGGGGCCGTGCCTTTAGCTTTTGACAGTGCTACAAACCCAATATTAGAGTGTCTCATTTGTCAGAAGAAATGATCCTATCATATCTCCCACTGAGTTCAAATTCCGGAGGACGTTTACATGTCAGTTAGATATATCTTCATTTTCATTTCTTAAAAAAGCAGATCAGGCCTAGCAATGAAGCTTTGAACACACTTGAATGTTTTGAAACGGAAATTGGTTTTTGTGATTTAGTTTCGTATAAAACGTTAGACCTACGTTTTGGTCTAATTTCTTAAACACTAAAAAATATTAATTTTACGATCATTAAAGTAGTTTGTAGCTGCCTATGTACTGGGACTGACTGCATTGGGATAATATTAATTGTATTGCAGGACCTTTGAGACCTGTCTGGTGACGGAGTTGTGAAACCTTAGCTTGTTTCTCCTCGTACACACGGTCATAAGACCTGAATAAGGCAGACAGTTGCGGGGGATAGACAGCTAAGTGTTGTAGACTACCCAAAAGAGTAAGACCTGAATAAGGCAGTCATATGCCATACCACAGTGAGAAGTGGGGGAAGTATATACAGTTAGAAGTGGCAGGACCGAAGAAATCTACTTACGGGAGACACCCGTTGACCACAGCTAGTGGTTATCCAATCAAGAAGAAACCCGTTGATCCATTGTATTATTTCACTGTATATATTTGATTGTAATTTTATTTGGTCAACAAAAACCTGAGTTAACAGGTTAACGAACCTAGTGTAACGCCTCGGTGATACAAGACATATCACCACACACCCAAGCTCGGCCGCGTTGCACGTTACAGTTTGTATATTATATCAAGTATGTATATACTAGTAATCGAAAAAGGTAGGTTTTCGGTCTATAGTGTTCTGTGTGTATGATCGAAGTTTATTCATACTTTAAAATTTTAGGAATGATTCTGACCTATACATGTAGTAAGATTATTATGTTCTCTTAATGACTTTTAAACTTTGCCTATTACCCAAATATGTAATGTTAGTGACTTAAACTATTCACCTGACAATGTATTGTAATCAGAACCATCTGTATGTATAGCGTCCACAAATACAGCATCGCTTTGATCCAAGCGAACCTGAAGATCAAAATTCTGGAAATTTGGCTGAGCAGCATCCAGACCTTAAAAGTGCAACAAATAAATAAATAAATGTTGTGTGTATCATCTTCCACCGTTTCAGCTTGAAGCAATAAACTTAGATATCAAAGAACCCATTACACATAATCTGTTGGTAACAAAATAACGTTTATACTCAAATGTGTATAATTCTGCACCTGTAATACGACTTAAGCCCGGAAGTCTATATCCAGCATATCCGGCGACGTGCGCACCTAAGCTATGTCCGATCAGATGATAGTTGGCGTTAGTAGTACCCAGTTTATTATTTAGCGACGTAATAAGCGCTGCAATTTCTGCTCCAACCACACGTGTGTTAGCTGTTGCTTGTCCATAGGGAAAACCTGATCCGTTGCCCCAGTCAACTAGTATAACATTCTGAGATTTCTGAAACAGGAAATATTTACCACATCAGCAACCGTTACGCCAAGGAAACAAGAGTAGAATGTAAAATAAATACAAACCCGCCTCAGCAACTCTAGCGCCATGTGTAACATCCATTCAACTCTGCCGTTCTGCAGAAATCCATGGATGATGAAAACTGTGTTTAGATTTGGCTGAAAGGGGGTCCCTTCCGAGCTGTTCAGGTCATCTTCTGATATGGTTATCGGTGTGTGGTCAGAATAGTCGGTGAGAAGGTAGAATCTGGTGGTTATAAATGAAGGATCCATGGGCAGATCATTGGTGTTATTGAAGGGTGGTCGAATACTAAAACAGCCTAACCTACCATAGCATATCGTTTCCCTTCGGTGTCCCTCGGAATGTACAGCTGTAGGTGTAGGAAAATCCATGTTATCTTTTTATTTTGAAGTATTTTAATGTTCTACATAGAAGCATAGTTTACCTGACTTTCACTGCACTATATATTGGTACCTGATTTCGCTTAAGTACTGCATGATTGCTAGAGGCTCTTTATTTTGGACAAACATTAAAAAGTAGCACATCCCTAGTATATTTTAGCTCAAGTACCATAACAGAAGGTTAGAATGAGTTTTTCTTTCTCAACATTTGTCGTCCGTATGTTGTCTGTTTACTTTCTACATTTTCTGCAGAACTAGCTAGTGGACCTGTATTTTTAAGCAAACTTGCAACCGTGCCTCTTTTGTGAAGAGTGTTTAATTCGTTCACACGAACGTGTCATGTCCCTTCCTTGTGGAGGTAAGAAAAAAGGGTGCGGCCAGTAAAACATGCATAAATCTCAAAAAATCTGCTCCTTATGTGCATTGACTTTTCTATGAAAAGTGCTCAATTTTAACCTTGTTTGACTGCGTGCAGCAAGCCAACACTGTAGACACGCAATGAATAAATGTCAGCCTAAAATACGTTTTATGCAGTTTTTAAAAAAAAAAAACACCGTTGTGATGAAAATAGGGAACATTCAATAAATATTGATTACACATAGGTTTTTGAATTGGAAACTGAATCTTGTTATTAGTTTTCCACGGGGGATTGCTGCAGAATCGTGCAGGGTTTGTTACTGTCAATGCCCTCTATGTGGAATGGTAGATGAACACAGCAAAGTTGGAATTCTCAATTCTTGCAAGAGTGGTCTAATTCAAAGATCTGAACAGTAAACTAATACTAGCCTTTTCAATTTGTGCAATCGTTTGTACTTTTGTAATTACCCCTTAGCTTTTATACTTTCTAGTGTGTACTATTACGTTTTTCTGTTTTTTTGTTTCCTTTTTTTCTATTGCAGCATTTTCTAAAATATTGTAAAGGGGACCTTTTGCCTGATTACTGGAGACAAATGATTTTATTTAACTACTTTTTGTTAAAAAAAAAAAACAAACCAAAAGAAAAAAAAACATTCTAATGAACCCACATAAAGAACTACTGAGCATTCCTTACTGGAATCTTATGAAAGGTCTAAGTCTCGAACTCTGATCAAATTTTATTGTTACAATGTTTCTCTAAAACTAAATGAAAAACGAACAAGAAACCAAAACAAGAAAAATGCAAATAAAGGGTTTACTTACCACATACATTAACAACAAATACGAATCCCAGAAATATGCTTAAACCCGCCATCACAGGATGAAAGAAGTTAAATGTGTCTTGAAAAGTTATCTACTTAGTTTCTAGGTTTACCGTGTGTTTATTTTGAAGATAAAATCTATCTGCCAAATTCTTAACAGATTTTCGCTGTATCTAAATCAGCTATATTATGTTAATAAATAAGTCTTTGACGTTCGTACATTGAAGAGGGGTCGGAATTGTTTTTGACTCAGTCATTAGAGGACTTCAAAACAATTTAATTGTAAACATGACTTTTCACCTTTAAAAAATCTTTATTACATTCACAATTCTTTTCTTTGTTTCTGAAGTCATGACATGTAAAAAGGAAAAAAAGGGCATTTTCTAACATCTTAACCGGTACATGTAACAACTATGATATCTTTTTATCCGAAAATAAAAACTTATCTGAAGAAAAACTAAAAAAAAAAATAGATACATGTCAATTTATAGGATTTTATAAGGTTCCTGATTATTAATTCAACAACATGGTTAAACTGAGAAAATTGTGAGGACTTGTACAAAATACAAGTATATACAAAAATGTATAAGAATAATGGATGCATGAAAAATTAATGTAAATATTTAAACTAAAAAGAAACATGGGGCCTGTGCAAATATACATGTATAAATTTTTACTAGCTGCTTTCTGGTTTAACCCAGTATGGTAAATATCTGAACTGCGCTTAAGAAAAGCTTAATATATTAGAATTATTGATTTTGAAGGAAAAGAGATAAGACTGATAGTTATGTTAAAGTGAATTAGCATCACTTTTGCTTCATGTACGCGTATATCACCGATATTAATGATATTTAATCTTACATCAAAAGCGAGATAGAAAAATAGAGAACGACGAAAGATCAATTATTCTTTTCGTGTTGTTTGACAAAATCAAACGACTCGTTACTTGATTGTCAGATAGTGTTAGATGTATTTTTTTTATCTTCTTTAATGTAGATTTCAAAAATATTTTGTTCATGTTTTCTACCTATACAGTTTTCATATCATTTTAAAAATTAATTTGCTAAGAGTGACAACATTACTAGCATATAAACAATGCTGAAGCCTTTCTCTCGCTCCTTCCCAAGACTGACTTTGTCTTTTACTAATTAACAATAAGCCTTGTACTGATTGGCAAATGAAAATTGTTAATTGGTGAAAGACGATATCAAATTCATTTTAATTTACTTTTTTTGTTCATGAAGGGAAGAAATTTTATCTTTTGGATCAATTATAAGAATGTAATTGTCATCTTGTGTTCTCATCTCATTTCACAAAAAAGTATTTGTCACTGAAACTTCCCATATGTATACAAATATCATCCGCTATATTTTCATTCTAGTGACTGACAGCGAAAGTAATATTGATACAATATGAGCAGTTGTTTACCTTTGTTTTTGTTTCACATAAAGAGTAAAAAATAAAGATAAATAACCGCGATCGATCTCAAAATCCGTACAAAAAATCTTAAATGTTAACTTAATAATAATGGACAATGAAAACTAAGATGAAAAAAATGTTATAAAGTTCAGAAAATGTGTTCCTCGAAAAATGATATTTAAACCAGAAGTCTCTGTCGAGACTGAAGCTCAAAAAAGGAAGAGAAAAGCAGTCTTTACAACAGCAATAAAAGAAAATCTTAAGTTAAAGTCTCTTTACTTAATAATAATGGACAATGAAAAGCATTTTGAAAGAATTTTACAGAAAAAAATGTTATAAGATTCAGAGAATGTGTTCCTCGAAAAATGATATTTTAAAAAACTACTTTCTCTCTCTCACTCTGTGCGTTTCAACAAAAAGACAAGAAGACAGACAGACTCAGAGGAACCTAAAGCCCTTCCCGGTTTCACGGATAGGGGGGTAAAAAGCAATAAGGGGTAAAAAATATTGAGGTTCTTGAGGGCTTTAATTTGCCACTTACATACTAAATTAAAACAATCTCCACCTGCGTTCACTTTAAAAATCAATGGAATTGCGACTTTTACAGACAAAAAAGCTTTTTTTTTCTTATTGTTAAATTTTTAGTTATATATTCCTATTAAGTTTATCTTTCGATAAATTACTGTTGGAGCTCTTAAAGTAATGAAGAATGAAATTTTTATCTGAGACATCAACTTAACAGAGTAAATAGAAAGGGCGTTGGCATACCACGGTACATTTTTTGATGAAGTTCGTCAGATTTTGAATTTGATAGATTGAAATCCATCAGAATGGAGCCATTGGACAATTGGTTTTTCATTATAGAAAAAAATGATGTTAGAATGACATTCACTTATTATCATTAGTGGTTTTATACAAGATTGTACAAAAGATTGAATGAACAAAATTCATTTACAACATTTCCTAAAATAATCACCAAATTACAAGTGAGAATACAGACACATCACTCACTAACTCCGGGGCCATAAAACTTAGTTGAGCCCGCTTTAATTCTTATTCACAGGTTTTCGATTAAAATCACTTCGTAAAAGTTGGAGTGAGATCAAAAAGTAAGCTCGGTTAAGTTGAATAACCCTGAGTAAGGATCCAGGACTTGATAAAAATGTGCTTACTTTTTAATCCCAGTTTAAATGGGAATTAATAATGAATTATATATTGACAGTAAAATAAACAATGAACACAAAAAAATACTTTAGCACCATTTCCTTAATGAAAGTGCAATTTAGATTGTTAGAAATGCACACGTTTGTTGTTATGTTAAAAAAAAAGGATTGGAGGTACTAACTTGCGTTTAAAGTGTACCCATGAAATAACTAGGGAAACTAGGTCTTTTACAAGACTGTAACTTTACTAGTTATATTAACAGATTAAGCAAGGGAAACGGCATATCATGTCAGCACATGAGAAGTTTTTACAAGTATTTTACAAATTTCTATATTTTGATTAACTTATTCAATGAAATCAAAAACTGATACATGTATATATATAGGGGTTTGTGAATCATTGCATTCTCGGAAGTCTATGTGCCAGGTAGACCACTCAGTGTTTTGAATGAATTTCAAAGAAGATTTTTGAGAAGCCATGACATCTTTCAATGAAATATAAAGTAAACTCATAAAAATGTCGCATATTTTAGTCTTCCTGTGTACCATGTCTTGAAATTGAAATCAGACCAAATGAAAACAGAAATTTCTTTCTTATATAACCAAAACAACACCGATCATCGAAATCAAAAAAGTTTAAAAAGTAAAATCTACTTATGAATGCCTTGGTTTTATAATGTTCGTTATTTTCATATATATTTTATACATATTTATAAAAATACAGATTCTATTTTTGTTTAAAATACAGTTCAGTGGAATCTCCTATTAAAATGGAGATGAATCAAGGCAGGTTTATGTAAGTTGTGTCGGAATAATGACGTTTTGGTACATACCCCGTGAATACTAATACTTTATGTAGGTCTTACGACAATGTCTATTAGCGCTCTAGACAAGAAGCTCTTAATTTTTTTTCAGAATTGTCCACCCTCGGGTTATTAAAAAAGAATGGATTTTTCTTTTTAGTATCTTGATTTATAAGTTCAGCCCATATTTTACGATGTAAACATTAATATTTTATCAGAAAGCTACTAGGATATCTTAAACATATGACATTGTAAATTTCTCATCCTGTAATTTACAATATAAAAGGAAATTATTTTTGATTATTTTCCCGCATACAATGGAATACAAAACAATGTCTGACATATAAGCTCAGCAGGTGATAACATGCTGATAAAAATTAATAACATACATGATAAAATATTCTGGAACAAGATCAGTTATATCAATGCAATGCATATGTCCAAACTATTTTAATGCAAATTTAAAGTAATTCTTAAACTCTGAAAAACCATCGTACCGAATATCAAGGTTTTAGAGAAATATTTCATATTTGTCGACACACCGTTGATTGTCATCCTAAACGACTTCCTTGAAAACATGGGAAAGAAATGTAGTTTGAGATTTGTTGACAGGATTATTTCATAAATTAGGTTTTTTTTTGTCTTCCGAATGGGATGTTGGCGCTCAAATTGGTCAAATTAAATCGATAGTTGATTGACTGAAAATATCTGAATTCGCCAAGTAATTTATATTGACTCAGGGTTGTTTAATGATTTTTTTTTACTTATTTGTTTATTCTGTAAAATGTTATTGCATTGTGTTTATTTATTTTTTTTAAACTTATTAAAACTTGATGTCAGTTCTCTGAATTTTTCGTATCTTTTGATTCTTCATCGACAAAATTGCTTATTTGAAATCACAGTGATTCTACACAAAGGCACTTTAAAGTTGATAGTCAAAGGATGCTCTTCATCGGAAACATATATGGTTTTATTCCGACACACTATAATTGTTTATCAAATGAACAGAAACTGTGATGTTACTGTTGTCTTTGTTTATATTTCAATAAAGAAGAATCTCCTATTTAAGCTCACTCAAAATACAAAACTTCAATGGTTTCAGATTCGAATAAATCATAAAATCCTATCTACAAAATTAATTCATTTCTACACAAAATTAAAAAAAAATTGATACAGATATCTTTCTGTACTGATGAAAATGAATCTAATGAACATATTTTTTGGGAATGTGAAATAGTGCAGGGCTTATTAGAAGCCTTTTCTACTCTTTGTTTTAGCAGAATTCATAGATATATTACATATTCAAAGAAATATTTTATATTGGGATCACATATGAAGTCAGAAAAAGTGAAAACTCTTATTGCCCTACAAATAAAGTATTTTATTTATAGTATGAGATGTGCCAACAAAACTCTTTCTCTGAATGGGTTGATGTCCTCCATAAAAATGTTATATGACACTAATAAAATAATAGCAAAGAAAAACAATGACAAAGAAAAAACTTGATGAGGCCTGGAAGTTATGGAAGAATTTATTCAATTGATATTTCAATTTATTCAATTGATATCTCTCTCTCTCTCTCTTTCTCTCTTTCTCGTGTTTTCTTTTTGTAAAATCATGGAAAAAATAAATTTAAAAAAAACTATGTCATATCTAACCAAAAAGAAAAGAATTAATTTAAAACTTCTAAAGGAAATAAAAACAATTACTGTGGCTTTCAACTCGACATTCAGATACATCGACATCGTTTTATAAATAAACAATATATGTCAATTTGAGATATTTGAATGAACTTAAAATGAAATCTACCACAGAATCTGCCACATGTGTTTCATGTTTGGAAGAAGGTCATCTAACAATTAAATTATAATATATGCGACATGACTTCAACTTTTTCATCTTTAACGTTCTCTGTTTCTGTGTACGTATGTTGGTATTCCAATATCACCTACATATGGTGTTTACGATTATTCGGTAATCAATGAGTATTATCAAATTTTAAACCAAGGTAGGCTACCTACTAACAAATAAGTAGATGTTACTGGGATTTAAAGTCAGCATTTTGTCAAAATTTGTGGTCGTTATGACTTTTTTTTTTTACAATTACAACCTTTCAATAAATTGTATTTCATATCAATAGTTAGTCTTTTTTTTTGTACTAATTCTCACTAAGGAATGTTTTGTCTACCTGTTCATTACTTGGGGGGCACTACGGAAATGAGCGATAAGCAGGGAAAGCTTACTCCTCCTAGGCAACTGATCCCAACTTTAGGATTTTTAGAAGGTCCATGCTTTATGTCCTGTTTACAGATCTGCGTTGTTTTTAGATTTGTTCGGGATCGATCACTGTTCATTATCTTCACCTTTTCATTCTATCAAACTACAGATCACGGATATTTAAAATGACATGTTAAGTAAAATTACGTAACCGATAATAATACTTGAATCTTCGTTCCGAAATCGTGTATTTGAATGAAATTGAGAATAATACTAATAAAGATCCAATAAATTGCAAAAAGAATGGAATATGATGACTGATAATGATATACATGTATATGAAGTGAAAAACAGTAATCAAGCTCCATAGTTCATGGAAACCATACAACTAATGAATGAGTTAGCAAGTAAGAACTAAATTCGTCAAAATAGGAATCAAGTGCCATGAAGAAGTAAGTAACCCGTCGACCTGACAATCACCTTTGCCGTCAGCTCATTGACATTATTTGGTAAACGGAAAGAACAATTATAGAAAAGTTAGTGTGAAACTAATGCGTAACAATTTGTTTGAAAAAATTAAGTCAAATTTCGACTTAACACCCCTTCTACATGTGCATTCCTAAAAATCCCTCCCACAGTCCAATCTCTGTTCAAACCATATACTGATACAAGTAATATTTTAGTAAGCATGCAGGGGAACAATAATCATGTTAAATAAAAACCAATTATCCATTAAATAATGTAAATGCATTTCTTTTTTTTTTTGATTGTCAGGTTTTTTTTTTTGAGTATTTTTTTACCAGACTTTCAATTTGCTTCCGAAATCATGATATAACAATATAAACATGCAGGGGACCAATGACATATTAAATAAAACCCGATTATCCACTAATTGATCTAAGCCTGATTAATATACCACGTACTGCAAAATTATAAATGCAAGTAAGAAATAAAGAAATATAAATGTAAAAAAAAAAAAAAAAGGAAATATAAATGTAAAAAAAGACATGAAAATGTAAAGGAATTTATTGAGGTTTCTGCGTGTACATGTAAATGCTTTAACACAACAACATGGTTTAACTGAGAAAAAAAATATGAGAACCTCTTAATTATTACGTAGGAATATATAATTATATTGTGTGTTTTCAAAAAAACTTTTTAATTGAAATTCATTTTCAACAACAGCAAAAGAAAAAAAGAAGGAGATAAATCGCGTAATTTTCGTCTTGCTACAATTTTCACTTTAGTAGTAGATTTAATCTTGGATATACATGGGTATTTTGTTTAAAAAAGATAATCGGTTTCAAATATTCATACTGTTACTTTAACAAATCAATATAATACCATTATAATGAAAAAAAGAGCATTATCTTTATTAGTACATTTAAATACAATTAAAAATGTTAATTATATTTACTGTCTGGAATGTAAAAAATGTCTTTAGAAAACGTACATTTAAAATACATACATATATGTAGTAATAAACATAAAGTAAAAAGCAATGTAAAAATTGATTGTACATGACAGTTAGTTGAGACATTAACGGTGTATAAGAATTTACATTAATGTTAATCGTTTTCAATGTCATCCACAAACCGTGTGTTAGTACTCCTGGACGCTGCGTGCTTTCTCACTGTATTATTGAGCAGTAACATATGCACGTCATTCGCTGAGCAGACCCGCAGTGGGGCTGACTGACGTCCATTTAAAGAGGTCAATGAGGTGCTTTTCAGGTTAGAAACACTAGAAGCATTTAGGGTATTCCTTCCTGGGCATGTACGGATGTATTGGCTGTCTTGAGAAAAAACGGATCCTGATCGTTGACGGACCACAGGCGGGTCACACAAACAGTGAAAGCAAAACAAACAGCAGTTGGCACTGTCTACATCAAATGATTTCTGTTTTAAGGTATTCATGTCAGACTGGTCCCGATTAAAAATATATTTCACACCAGATATTATTTTCCATAGAAGTTCTCGCCTGAGGAGTATGTAAACCCAAGGATCTAGGATTTGATTAAATGAGGCGAGGCGGATCAGTTGTAAATCCAGGATGGTATTACAGACAAGGCCTGTTTGGTTCATTATAATTCTAACCTAGAAAATAGCAAAAACATAGTACAAATTAGTTGTCCATCATATCTGTATGGTCAAAATACATGTAATACAAAGGATCATTCTCTATAAGGCTGTTTTGCGGTCTACAATGACTTCAAATTTTCAGATAGTATTTTAACCCTTAAAAATTTCATGAATCACTAGGGCTATGTTCCAAGTTAAAGATAAATATTGATTGGTTAATGATACAATAATATTTTTAATGATATAGGGTCACAAAGTAAGGTACTATCGGTCCGTGTTAGCATTAGAGTAATGGGAAAATTGTTGAAGGTATGTGTTAGATAACTCCTACGCATGTCATAACTACCTTTAACCAACACCAAAATTTGCATGTAAATGTCTTATAAACATAAAAAGTGACAACCAAATTATGAATTTGGTTAAAGGTGGTTATGACATCTAAATAAAAACTTTTCACTTCATTTTTACGATATTTGCAGAAAAAGCTAACTACTCACAATGAAGGATATCAGCTTATGTAGATTATTTCTTTTTATAAACTTTTGGTTATAGTACAATTTTCTGTTGATTTACTAAGATCAGCTATGCATATTTACTTTAAAAATGTGAATTTTTTCCTTACAAATCTAACAAGAGGCCCAGGGGCCACAGCGCTCACCTGAGCACATCGGGCTTGAATTTACTCCCCCCCCTCCAGGCATTCATCATTTGAACAAACTAGAATCTACACTACCTGAGGATGATTCCATATAAATATCACTAATCATAGCTTTGAAGTACTTGAAAAGAAGATTTTAAAAGGTTTCCCTATATATCCTTATGTAAAACTTGGGTCTAACATTTTGAGAGAGAAACGGAGAATGATTTGAACAAACTTGAATCTACACTACCTGAGTTGATTCCACATGAGTTTCATCTTTTGGCCCAGTGGTTCAGAAGAAGATTTTTAAAGATATTTTATATATTTTGTAAAACTTGGTTCTTTTTGTATTTCTCATGAATTGTACAAACTTTCTACACTACCTGACATTTCACATAAATTGGTTTTTAAGTGGTTCTGAAAAACAAATTTTTAAAGATTTTTCCTATATATTCCTATGTAATGACTACAATGCCATTTTGGCTCCTCTTTGCCCTGGGGATGATTTGAACAAACTTGAATTACACTACCTGATTGATTCCACCACACGAGTTTCATCTATCCTGGCCCAGTGGTTCTGGAGAATCAGATTTTTCTAGATTTTTCATATATAGTCCTATGTAAAACTTGGGTCAGCCATTTTGGCCCCACCCTTGCCCTGGGGGTCATGACTTGACCAAACTTGAATCTACACTACCTGAGGATGATTCCACATGAGTTTCATCTTTCCTGGCCCAGTGGTTCTGGAGAAGAAGATTTTTAAAGATATTTCCTATATATTCCTATGTAAAACTTGGGTCGGCCATTTTGGCCCCACCCTTGCCCCGGGGGTCATGATTTGAACAAACTTGAATCTACACTACCTGAGATTGATTCCACATGAGTTTTTTTCCTGGCCCAGTGGTTCTGGAAAAAATTTTTAAAGATTTTTCCTATATATTCCTATGTAAAACTTACAGAGGCCATTTTGGATCCACCCTTGCCCCGGGGGTCATGATTTGAACAAACTTGAATCTACAACCTGATGATAAAATTCCTTTTGAGTTTCATCTTTCCTGGCCCAGTGGTTCTGGTGATGTTGATTTTTTAAGATTTTTGTGATATTTTGATATGTAAAACTTGGGTCGGCCATTTTGGCCCCACCCTTGCTCCGGGGGTCATGATTTGAACAAACTTGAATCTACACTACCTGAGGATGATTCCACATGAGTTTCATCTTTCCTGGCCCAGTGGTTCTGGAGAAGAAGATTTTTAAAAAATTTTCCTATATATTCCTTTGTAAAACTAGGGTCAGCCATTTTGGTTCCACCCTTGCCCCGGGGGTCATGATTTGAACAAACTTAAATCTAACTTGAATATTCCACATGAGTTTCATCTTTCCTGGCCCAGTGGTTCTGGAGAAGAAGATTTTTAAAGATTTTTCCTATATATTCATATGTAACAATTGAGTCAGCCATTTTGGCCCCACCCTAGCCCCGGGGGTCATGATTTGAACAAACTTGAATCTACACTACCTGAGGATGATTCCACGTGAGTTTAATCTTTCCTGGCCCAGTGGTTCTGGAGAAGAAGATTTTTAAAGATTTTTCCTATATATTCCTATGTAAAACTTGAGAAGGCCATTTTGGCCCCACCCTAGCCCCGGGGGTCATGATTTGAACAAACTTGAATCTACACTACCTGAGGATGATTCCACACGAGTTTCATCTTTCCTGGCCCAGCGGTTCTGGAGAAGAAGATTTTTTAAAAATGCCATTAATTTTTAACAAATTCATGATTATCTCCCCTTAAAAGGGCGTAGCCCTTCATTTAACAAACTTAAATCCCCTTCCAAGGATACTTTGTACCAAGTTTGATTGAAATTGGCCCAGTGGTTCTTGAGAAGAAGATGAAAATGTGAAAAGTTTACGACAACAACAACGACAACGACGACAGACAACGGACAAATTTTGATCAGAAAAGCTCACTTGAGCCTTCGGCTCAGGTGAGCTAAAAATCAAAGGACTGAGAAGACTGGGTGTCATGAAATTACTAGTGGAGACGTTTCTTTGAAATGCTGATAAAAATTAAGAAATAAAAACTTTTTATAGGCTATAAGGTGTGAATATGAGATCTTTTTTTATTTATAATGATAGTTTAGTATATCTATATATGCTACTTCTTTGAATTCCGTTATGAGTACTGCATATATATATTTTTTTTGTATTTCCTTACGAGTACTGTGTATGTTCTAGAAATGATGAAAGCAATCTTTGTTGAAGCGGTAACAGGCATTTATTATTTGTGTTATAGACTTTTTTCCTATGGGTACACACATAATATTTATATGGACACTTCAAAAAGTATCATGTGAATATTTTGTTAACTGGGTCTTAAAATCTATTGAGAGGACTCAATCTATTCATCAAACTTCTTTGATAGCATCGATATAAGTTACGATAACATGAGTCCTATCTTAGAAAATAAACTGGTAAAGAAGAGAGAGATTCCTAAATGTAATATGTAATTGATAACTGAATGTTGCTTTCCCCCATTTTAGAATTTTTCAACCAGATAAAGAGATCATCCACTTACGGTCAAGTGTTTATGCATAGTTGCATTACTAACCAATGCCCAACACGGGACGGTACCTTTTTTAAAAAAAAAAGAAAGAAAATATCCAAAAGATCCATGACATTTATTTTAAATGCTAAAGACTTAAGTAGGTTACTATCACTATCCATTTAAAACGAGTTTTTGACGCTGCACTGGGAAAGAGACTGAATTTAACCTACAGGTTTCAAGAGTGGGAAAGGAGCATCAAACCCTTAGGGTCCATTTTGTACCTTGGATGTTGTAGAACTCTTAAGTCCGTATAGTAGTATATACGAAAACTTCAGATTTTGATATGCATAGTTGAAGGAACTGTTAAAATTCTACTCCATTTTATGTTGTGCCGTTAGACAAAGGGGGAGGGGGGTTTCAACTTTTATACATGTAAATACATAAAGTTTAGATGGCATTTTTAATTGAATATTTCGTGCAACACGAGTAATTAAATAAAAGCAAAGCCATTTTATGACGCTATTTCATTTTACTTAGAGATGTATAATTTTTAATGCAACCGCTCTGAGTTATATGTAATGACTATTTACATGCATATGGATAGTCAACATGTACTTCCATTGATATTCTTATGCTATTAATTCTTTTTTTTATTTAATCACAATCAAAATCCATTTAGTGCTTTCAACATTGATACATAACTTTTAGAGTTCAATAGAAACTTAAAAACATCATTTCTAACTTGATTATTTTATGCGCTAAATAAGTACCACTTCTATAGAAATGATATACAATTACAATATAATTATATATGATATAATACTTTTCAATAAATTGCAAATCAAACTTTTTTTCAGCACCATACAGTGTGAATTTCGTAAAGATTTACGTTCAAAATATGCAAAATGTGGATGCATCGGAATTCTTGTCATAAAAAATATCTTGAACCTTAAATGAAGAAAAATCTTCGAATTTATTACTAAGGTCTGATGTATTTCCGACATAAATAAATTTTTTTTGGATCATTTACATTCAGAAACATGCATAGAAACTTCATTTAAATAGACCTACCCTCAAATTTTTTTTAAATGACAGCCATTTTTTATCACTAAATCACTTGACTTACATGATCGATGTTGAAAAACAAACATCAAAATCATGAACTAGAATGGTTATAATTATAAAATATCACATTTTAAAGTGATTTTGTCGTAGGCCGGAAAATGGCCTTATAGACAATGAACCTTTAAATATAAGCTATGCCATGGTTTTTTAACAAACGCTCGTATACACATTCAGATTCCAAAATTTCTTTGCAATTGCCACATAGGCCTAGGGTAAAAACGTTTTTGTGACTGCAGCTTACGTGTGTTTTTATTTTGTTGAAGGTGTTAAACTCCTCTTGTACATTTCGATGTTTGGATTATAGTTCGAGACAGAAATTCTTAAACGAGTATGTGTTTACACTGAGAACAGAAATTGACTTTGTCAAGTTTGGTGCTTATTCGTAGAAGAAAATAGACCCCTCCAAGGAAACTGAATCGTAATCATTAAGACTAAGAAGCATGAGGTCTTTGCAGATATTTAACTTTGTACTAGCTGCTTTTGATTAAACCCTTACTTGAAAAAGGTAAATTTCTAGACTACACGGAAGGAAAGCTTAATATACTAGGATTATTGATTTTCTTGGAAAAAAAGCTTAAGACGACAGTTATGTTAAAGTAAATTAGCATCATTTTGGCTTCATAAAAGAGAATATCACCGATATCAATGAAATTTAATCTAACATTAAAAGCGAGAGAGAGAAACAGAGAATGACGAAAGATCAATT